ATGTTCATGGATTCTAGAAATTGAGACGCGTACATCTTTGGAGAGCCATAACTCAGCCTACCATACTGCTTTTCCCAAATGAGCGTATCTTCCTTATAATCTCTTGTGTGAGTGAGAATGTGGCTAGATGTACAGCTCAAGGTTCAAAAGCCCTTTTTTCAGAACCTCGTAAGCATTTTATCTTAATATCTTCTTTGAGGCTTTTGGTGTGAAAGGTGGAATCATAGTGAGGAGTTGATTTCACTGTTTCGGTGATTATCTTTGGTGCATCTCAGTCTTCAATTCCCTTATGGCAAACTGTGGTTGCCTTAACAGTTTTCAGTGTCAGTGCCTCACACTCAGCCTTCCTTTGTCCCTGCTCACCTCTGCCACAAAGGAAGTCTCTTTCCATACTCTTGCCTCTCCCTCAGTGTAGACTGCTGCTACTTGTTACTCCTACCTTTGGTCTCATGGTAAAGGTCAGGTGGGAGAGAAGAAGGTTCTTTGCTGTTCTAGTCCAGTCTCAGTTTAGGAAGGCCCTGTGATCGGGCCTCAGGGGCAGGACTTCCTCGGTATTCAATACCCTGCTCCCTGGGACAGCCAAACTTGGCCTTGTGTCTGTGGATGGTCTTGTGCGGAAGCTTCCTGCCTCTCCCCTAGTGAGTGGGTGGTGACTCCCCTTTTGTATAGGCTTAGCACGTTAGGCCCGAAATGATATTTTTGCCCCTCCCCCTATATAAAGAATTTTTTCTTCTACTTTTCCTCCATTTTTAGTAGCAACTTATATTTGCAAATGCTCTGGAAATGACAGGTTTTCCTAGCCCTCTTCTAAGGGCTTAAAGCATTTGATTCACAGGAGAGAAGGCCTAAGAAAGGAGCAGGGCTTTGCATCCCGCCCCCGCTTCCCCCGCCACACACACACATATACTTGTATAATAACCACTATCTCCTCCTGCCATCTCTGTAACAGGTGACTTAGTTTGAGTATCCAGACTTTTTTTTTTTTTTTTTTGGAGAAGTTATTCTCCAAATAAAATTTTTTTTGCGGTAAATTCTTTGGAGGAGTTATTTGAATTGCAGTTATTCCACTGCCTTGGAAGCTTTACTCTCTAATGGACTCTAGAAAAGTTGCCCATCTGTAGTTTATCCAGTTTTTCTTATTGTTAAGGTGGAAATAACATTTTTGGTTCTTCTATATCCTAAGCAAAAGCAGAAGTCTTCATGGACCTTTTATTAAGAAAATTCACTCAAAATACTCAACATGTAGAATGCTATGTCCATAAGAGCTCCATTTCATTCTATAGTGAGTTAACAACCTTAGTTATATATTAAATGTAATCTAAATTGGAATCAAATGAATTCCACTTGGAGAACTAACTAGTTTTATTACATAGTTGCACTTAATGGCCTATTTTTAGATCGCTTCATTTATATAATTTTATAGAGAAAAGCAAATAACTTTCCCTGCATTTAAACAGCTCATCTCAGAAGTCAAATGATATTTTCTCTTGTAAAATTGTGCATTAATTCAGAAGATGTACATATACATATATATGTAATATATATATATATATCTCCACTCATCAGTTTTACTTCTTTTTAATCAATTTTTTTTTCATTTGTTTCATAATTTTTGTAATGTGGGTAAGTGCTTTGCATCCTGGATAAAGCAATTTTGAGCAAATAAACTATATCTTGAAATGTTATAACAAATTCCCTGTATATAATAATGTACACTTAATTTTAGACTGTAATACAATCGACTAATTTCATAATTATTTTTATTACAACAAAAAATAACAATAAGGGCAAAGGAGAGAAATTATAGGTGATGAGGTGCCCATTGAACACTCATCGTTGGATATGCTAGTATAATGCACACTACATTAGCACTGAAAAATGCTTTTGAAGAGTTTCTATTACATTATTAGAATTAATTAACTTAGACACTTAACAAAACCTTTTATTTTATGTGTGACTTGTGACCTTGATGTGTCACCTTGAGCAAGCCACTAAACCTGTCTGGACATCTAGTTCCTCCTGTGAACACTGTGAGGGCTAAATTACGTCATTTTTTAAGATCCGTTCCAGTGCTATGACTTGGGGTAAAGACAGCCAGTGCATAAAATGTCATTTGCTGCTTTTTTGTGCTTATTTTATCTTCTCGATAAATCGTGATGGCTAAAAGTTAGCCAGAAATTTCATGATTTTATATATTTCTGATTACACAGCTCTATTTTTTCTCAAATTACAGGTTTTCTGTAAGGAATGTGGAGTTTGGATACCCTGACAAAAGTAACTATCGAGAAGTATTTACACTCCAGGCCTGACTGAGAGTGGGAAATTATTGTCTGATGCCCCTCCTACTCTACTGTCCCCCTCCCAAGCCCCTGAACTTCCTTTTCCTTAGTGAGATAATAAAAAGAACCGATTTTATTGCCACCTAGATAGATGTTCCAACCAAGTGGCTGAGGTGGAGAACTCTGCTTCTGAGCTCCCCTCAGGCCTTGCTGTGAATAAATAACGATAATGTTTATAAATTTCAAAAGAGATCCAAGGAACACAAAACTACACCGCTTTCAAATTATTTCAAGAATGAGTTCTGGAGGAATGGACTTTCAGGATGAGTAATGGGTTAGTCAGGGAAGCAAGGGGAAGGATATGCTGAGGCTCTGATCTGAAGCCCAAAGAGGTACAGAACTGGTCCAAACTGGAATGGCTTGAATACAACCTGGAAAGATGTGAGATGGGATCAGTAAAAAAGAGTGCATGTGAATACAAGGTCATCTAGACCTAGGACACAGAAGGGGTGAGAAATGCTCACCCAGAAATAGCTTTTTAAGGCTTCTGAAAATTATGCAAGCATTCAATTTTATCAAGTTCTGAGTTTCTATCTTCTCACAATTTTATGGTATTAAAATTATTTTGTTCGATCTATTTACATAGTATATTAATCTTTTTGTCTATCATATGCTTTCTGAATATAATCCTAATTGATTGTTTGCCTTTATAAGTTATGGTATTTTTGACTATCGAAATTATAATTTTATGCATTAATATTTATAAGTATTTTCCATTTTGGTCTATGACTTTGCTGCTATGTTTAGAAAGTCCTTCCCACTTCTCTAAAATTATATAAATATTTAACTTTATTATTTCACATTACTTTTTTAATACATTTAAATAGTCAACCTGTTTCACAGACATTTTAGTATACGATATTAGGGAAGGTTAACAAATTCCATTTATTGAATAAATAATGCTGATCTTTTCCTCATTAATCTGAAAGATCATCTATATTACATACCTAATTCTTATATATCTTTGTGTTCCCTGACCTAACTGTCTTGCTGCACCATTGCCTGCTTTACAATTATTTTGCTCCCTTTTACAGAAAGTTCTCTTACAAAGGGAAACTTAACCTTATCCATCATTTTTTATCAAATTTTCTTGGTGCTTTTCACAATCATATTATTTATTTCAGACAATCCTTAAAATATAGTGATATGTACATTTAAAAATCTATCCATGTGGGAAATACGCAGTTCAAACCATTTATATTATTAGTTCTGACTTGAGATAGCAAAATTTAAAAAGAAAAAATCATATAGAAATGAGTTGAATCACATTCAAAATTTTCTTTGCTAATCTGAAAGTCCTTAGTGGGGTATTATTTATTAATGAATATTTTATTTTATTTGTATGGTTTACTTCATCCAGAAGTATGTACGAGTGTGCATTCAAATGGCCATAAACGTTTCTATTCAAATTTACCATTTCCTGATAATCAAAATGTCTAATAATGTGTCATTGGTAGATGTTTTGAGGCAGCTACTTTTGCAAAACAATTAGGTCACCAATGTGCTTACTTAGAAGAAATTAGATGCCATCAATACAGCTGTCCCCGCTTATCCGCAATTTTGCTTTCTGCTATTTCAGATACCCTCAGAAAATCCTGGTCTGAAACTATTAAATGAAGAATTCCAGAAACAAATAATTCATAAGTTTTGAATTGCACATTCTAAGTAGTGTGATGAAATCAGATCAATTGTTGTGTGTTCAAGTGCTTTGTTCAAGTGACCCTTATTTTACTTAATAATGGCCCCAAAGCACAAGAGTAATGATGCTGACAATTCAGATATGCCGAAAAAAAAAAAGCCGTAAAGTGCTTCCTTTAAGTGAAAAGGTGAATATAATAAACTAAGATACTTTGAGAGAAAGAGACCATATTCATATAACTTTTATTACAGTATATTATTATAATTATTCAGTTTTATACTTAGTTATTGTTAATCTCTTACTGCACCTAATTTATAAATGCAGTTTTAGGTATACATATAGATATATATGTATAGGAAAAAATATAGGGTATATATAGATTTTGAACCATCTGTGGTTTCATGCATCTACCAGGGACCTTGGAACGTACCCCCTATGGATGGGATTACTGTAGCCTCATCCCTGTGTTCTTCCAGCACATCCACAAGGACAGTGCTTCTGGTAGAATGCAAACGTCACATTTTACCTGACATTGTTTGAGAGGTATAAAGAATGTCTCTATAGAAAAACATCTTCCTCTCAGTTGCCTTATCTTTGCATTTGTGCTGGGTTCCCTACCTTTAGGGTAGCCCATTGACTTCTAATCCATAGTGCGAATGAACACATCACATCACTTTTCTCCATGAGAAAGCAGAAAGAGACAAGGAAAGCAGTAAAATGAAATAGTAGGATCAAAGCGCTAAATGCATTTACTTCGTAATTTGCCTCATGGTGCAACTATCTTAGGTTTTGCTTAAATCCCACAATGGCCTATATAAATCCTGAAGAAAACAAATTTTCATTAGCATTTGAAATTTCATCCCTTCCTATTCTGGAATGAAATATTTTTCTTTTTGACTTTTACTGGGAACATAAAATTTTTAAGCCTCCCTAGAGCAAGCTTCATGAGTGAACTACAAGCTGAAAATTAGGCATTCCCTTATCTTTGGATGTGAAATAATTGTTCTTCTTTTCTTTTTCAGTTTCTTCTTTGTGGCATATGTGGAATATTGTGCGCCAAAAAAAAATCCGGACTTGTCGTAAGTTTCTGCCTTGTTTGTGTTGTGCATTGACGTGTTTGAAATGTAAGAACTCAAAAATAGAAATGGTCATTAGCGAACGTTCTTTCATATGCTGAATGTTACTAATTTGATATAGAAAGAAGACTGACAAATAAATCCTGGCTTTTTGATTTTCAAAGAAAACCATCAAGATTATTAGAGACTATGACCAAAAAAAAAAAAAAGAAAGAAAGAAAAGAAAATCTTTGATATACTCTTTAAAAACATGAATATACAACCCTTAATGACTTCTTTGGATGACAATCACTGCTTTTCCAATTTATAGACTCCCAAACATCCCCTCAATAAACTGAAAAAGATACAACTTGAATCATTGGAAATTTAACTGTTTAAATGCGAAACTGAGCCTAAGGATTGCTAGTTTTGTTTGACTGTGCATTTGATCTTACAAAGCAGCGAAACAGCTGTGTCGTCATAGTTACAGTTAATTCCCAAAGATTTTTTATGTAATTTTATTTTATTACAGTGAATGCAAATGTAAGTGTTTTCAGATGTTTTATGGTACTATTGTGGGTCCTGAGGGTATGGAACATGCTTCCAGCTAACTCTGATATTAGATGGAGGACAACTTCTGCCAAGCTGAAGTGTAGATTCCCCACTGCCTTCCACGTCATTTTATGAGAGTTTGGAAAGAAGGAAAATCGTGGTTTATTGTATTGAGTACAACAGGAAATATCATAGACCTTTAAAAACTGGCAAAATTAATACGACACATGAACCCAAGGAAGTGGTTCTTGAGCTTAAAAAAAGTTTTCCAAGGGGAAACCAGTTATCTGGGGAAGGCAGGGAATGGGGTGTAGTGCAGTCATTTTTTTTTAACTTCTTTTTATAATCACACCTTTCTCTGTGAGACTATCTATTGTGACAAAAAGGATGAGGTCTCCATCGCTTTAGACATGAGAGATGTAATTTTTAAAAATTACATAAAAGGAAACCCTCAGATAAAATTTTCTTTCTTAGAGGCTCTTGATTTCACATCTATAATTCTCCCATCCCTCTTTCGACATGGTCTCCAGTCTTTCTACAGCTTTCTTCTACAGAGATGCTTTATGGCTATAAAATGACAATTTTTTGGAACTTGGATATAAAAAATAGAGTTGGGGGGAGCGAGAGGGGGAAGGGGGGAGATCTCTTAGTTTATTGGGGCTGCTATAACAAAGTACCATAGATTGGGTGGCTTATAAGCAACAGAAATTTATTTCTCATGGTCCTAGAGGCTGGAAGTCCAAGATTAGGGTGCCAGCAGAGCTGGGTCTGGCAAGGCTGTCTTCCAGACTTCTGGCTGTTCCCCACATGACAAAAGGGAGAAGAGAGCCCTCTGGGGTCTTCTGTAAGGGCACTGATCCCATTCATGAGGGCTTCTCAAGACCTAATTATCTCTCAAAGGCCCCACTTTCAAATACCATCATATTGGGGATTAGGCTTCAACATCTGAATTTTGGAGGACACAAACATTCAGTACATAGCAAAACAGAAAGAAAAGAAAGGGAGGGAAGGAGAGGGAAAGGAGGGAAAGGAAGGGGAGGGGAAGGGAAAGGAAGGGAGGAGAAGAAAGATTTTTTAAAAAGCACTAGTGACTTTTTTTCTGTCTTACTAATTTTTTTTTATTTTTTATAAGTTAGGGGAAAATATCTTAACATCTAAATTTTTTAGAAAAAGTCATCCATTTTATCCTTCTGTATCACCTGGGGTTCCCATAGATGACATTTAACTATCAGGGATTCTCTACCCTTTAGTCCAATTGTGTAAAAATTTCTCCACTCCAAATATCTCTGAAGTCTGGAATCTCCACCCTGGTGAGAATTGAAAATAGTGGAAGGTTACAAACTTGGGTTACAAATTTTAGCTCTCAGTTCCTAGGTGAGAATGTTCTGTCTGTAATCAGAAGAGATATGTGTTTTCCTCTAATAGTCAATTAAATTAATCTTTTTCCTTCATTAACAATAATCGATTATTTGAAGGCTAAAATTTATTATCTTTCCATATTTTCTGAGGATGAGTAAACAGCACAATATATTCCCAAGAAACTGCATTTCATCTAAATATACTTTAAGATGAAATATAACTCATTGATCCTACCTGAAATTGGGAGCTACAAGTTCCCACTTGGGGTGATTCAATTATTTGGTAAAAAGGTTTTACTCATCCATTACTGGAGTTTCAGCCTTGGTGATAATTTCTGTGAGACAGACACAATAAGGAATGCTGAATTAAGTTAGAGAAGTAAGAGGAACAACCTGTAGTTCTTTCAGCCCATCGTGCTATTCATTGTGCTATTTCATACGTCCGTGGCCATACCTTTGCTGGGATACACTTAGCTTAGACGACATGTCGTCCAGGAAGTCTTGTCTGAAACCCCTGGCTGTACTGACTTCTCCTCCTCCCTCCTATGAGGACTACCCATTCATCTAAATATTTGCCATGCCATGTTGGAACGGTGGGTCTTCTCTCACACGAGACTGCAGTGTAGTCAAGGAGAATAGCTATGAGCTATTCTTTTTTGTAATGCCATGTGCTACTTTACTCAGGGCCTAACAGATGCTAGGTGCTCCATAAGTGCTTGCTAACTTCAGCTCCCTGTTAACAGCAAACAATACCTGATAAAGTAAAATTTAATGCTCAATTAAGTTATATAGCTGTTTGCCTTATGGAATTACCTCAAAGGAGGAGGTCAGTAAAGTCCAGGAAGGCTTTTTGAGAAAGTTAGGGCTAGATGTGGATCTCCCATTTAAGAGCCCAAGGAAGAAGCAAAATTATTTTTAGCAAATGAAAAATATTATTGAGGTTGGAATGTACGAATTACATTGATGGACAAGAGAGGAGACAAAAGCTATTTCAGAGATTGATGGGAATAAGGTGGAATAAATTAGTATCATACTATAAAATATCCTGAAAACCCATAGGAGAATATAAACTAGATACAAATACAAAGTAAAATTATTAAAGCTATTGGAATATTCAATTAAATGTATTAAATATTCATAGGACATTACACAGAAGGCATTGTGCTTAGTTCTGCCAGAGATCCTGTGATATTTAGGTTGAATAAAACCCCCTAGCTCTTTTAATAAAGACCCAGAGTAAGACAACAGTAGGGTCAAAAGCAAAGCTGCATACTGTGTTTCTTCAAAACAACCAATCCAACAGTATTTTTGTAAGATCTATTGTGTATTCTTCACTGTGGTGCTACATAATAATAAAAGATCTGTAAGATAAGGGTTCAATTCACAGGGAGGCTCTAAGCCTCCTGTTGGGGAAATAGATACACATGCAGTAAAGTTTTTATAAATAAATAAGAATTAACTAAATTCCCTAAGATCACAAAGCTAGAGAAGTATGAAGATTTGAAGCTTGGTGGAACTATTGACAATTTGACGAAGAGATATTTAGATATCTTGGGGGGATTAACATAGTGAAATGGATCTGGAGTCAGAAAATTTGGGATCAGTGCCTAAATTTGAGTATTACCCGCTCCAATTTATTTTCCAAAATGTATATTACTCTCTCTCTCAGAGGATTGCTGAATGGGTTAATTGAGATGATATCTGTTCATGTTCCTAGCATAGTAGCACACTGTAGATATTAAATAAATACTATTTAAATCTGAACCTACCTAGAAGACAAATTTTGTTTCTTTCAGAGTTTTCATAAGATGTGTCCTTGGCCTTTATACAGTCAGCTATTAAATCCTGAAGCACTGTGGTCTACACCCTCTCCATTGAGTAAGATTCCATAGAAACTCGATGAAAGGACAGTTCCTGTCCTCTCGGAAGTAACAAAAGCATCTCCTCTTTAGTGTAGCTCAGCCATCCTTGATGTGCAGCAGGACAGTGCACTGCCTGGGGCCAGCTTCGCTTTCTCGATGTTAACACTCCCGTTTTCTTTCTTGTCAGATGATCCTCTTTTCTGCCTGCTGCATCTGTGGACTCATTGGGGGCATCCTGAATTTTCAGTTCCTTCGGGCAGTGACAAAGAAGACCTCTTCCCTTTACCCTCTGCATCTCGCATCCATGTCTCTTGCTTGCATTGGGATCGGGGGCTGCACCCTCTCTTCATGGCTCACTTGTCGACTGGCCAGCTATGAACAGAGGAGGATGTTCTCAGAAAGGGAGCATTCGCTGCACCACTCTCATGAAATGGCCGAGAAAGTGAGTCTTGTACCGCTTCCTCTCACTGCTGTTATGTGATGACGACTGCAGTCAAAGCTAGGTGACTCAATCTGTAGCTTTAGATGAGAATTTGAGGAATTAGAGTCTACAAAAGTTTTGTTCTAATAGACTAAGAATAGGAATTTATGTATTTTTCTCTGCAATTCTGGGTACACCTATTTTCAACATAATTTTGTAGTCCACACAAAAACACAGTTCCTAAAATAGCATTTTATAAAATATTAAGTGCCTTATAAATATGGATTATTATGTATTGAGGAAAAACACTAAATACACTCTCAACTCAATAATGCCAGTTTTAGAAATCCAATGAATTCGCCTTTCTAGCCCACCCCTTGTGCTTGTAAGTAGATGCATTTGATTATGTAAATTAGATTTTCAAGCATTAAAGGGCCTTTTAATGAGGCCACAAAAAGCCTTGCCTATCAGCACAGGAATTACAATTCACATAAAGCTTCATTTAATTCTCATCTAAACTTCATGCATATTTGGGTAGCTTTGCCTGTATTTTAAACAATGTTCCTTGCATAATTGTTTAATGAAACCCATTCAAACAGGAAATTACATTTATCAAATAAAAGGACAAATGATGTAGTGAGTTGTCTGTGTTTCTACTACATCTTGCACATATTTTTAAATTTATCTCCTGCTACTGGATCTGTTAAGGAAAATATAGAGCATCTGTAAAATAAACTCGCTAAGATAATAGCTACATCATATTTTACTTGATATCATGGAAATAAAACTGCATAACCACAGAAGAATGAGTAGTAAGAGTTACTATTGCATATTTCTGTATAATGTTATTTTGAAGAAAAATATTTATTCTATGGTTTTATGTGTTTCCATTTTGTACACAATCTATACATTCAAGTAAGGAGAGTAAATGCTTTTAAATTGTTTCAAGAAACCAATTTTAGACAGATTTATGTGTGTCCTTCAAAAAAGAACTAATAGTATAAATAGCAGGACTGGTAATTTAAAGAAATGGGTTGTTAAAATTAGTTTATCATTCTATGTTTGGATAGTGGCTCTTTCACACTCTATTTTTCTGCTAGTATGATTTAATTTTGTGTATATGTTTGTGCAATATTTATTGTATAATTGTTATATTTATATTAGAGATTGAGGGCTATTGAAATAACCGACTTGCCCAGCTGCCCGGTGGTGCCCCCGACACCAGAGTTACCTACAAGGTACGCTGATTTTTAGGGAGTTGCCATGTTGTAATGTCACTGTAGGAAGTGCTGCCTCTTCTGGGAAGCCATGATATCAGCAGATCAGTCTGGACTGATGCTGGATGTTGTTTCTCAAAGTATAGCTTTTCATGAGAGCTACTTTGAGGACCTGACATAAACCTACATGGCAGTCTTGCAGCTTGTTAAGTTGATTGAGTATTTAGAATATTCAGCCTGCCCATCAGCATCCAAACACATCTCTGCTTGGATGATTCTTGGCTCCTTTATCCTCTGCTACATCATGGGCCTGACTCGGTATCATCCTTCACAGACCAGAGTTTTGTCTTTTAATAATAGATGTATCTGATAAAGACAAACTATATCTCTCTCATGCCAAAATTGCATGAATAGATACCCTGTCTGACACTAATACAGTAAAAATTCTCTGTGAAAACTTACTTCTTGTAAAATTATCTGATGTGATACATTTCAAATGTTATTTCCCATATTTTGGATTGCTGAAAATAATCACCATTCTTGCTTTGGTTAAACAATAGAATTGGAAATACAGAAATTCACATAGATACTGTGACCTAATCGTAAAAAGTATGTCCATTTGCAAATGCTTCCATTTGAACATGCCCAAATTTAGACTATAATCTTCTTGTTAAATTGGACATGCCTACTTGCAAATAAGCTGGTAATACTAATCCATTTAAAAACTGATTTACACTGTTACTTTCTATTGGAATTTTATTGTATCTGTATTAGAGTGAATTTAGTTAAGAACATTCTTTTTTTTGTAATATGTATATA